GTGTGTGTGTGTGTGTGTGTGTGTGTGTGTGTGTGTGTGGTACTTGTGAAGATAACTAGTGTTGTCACTAGTTTAAAAGGTTTATAGATAATCCAGATGATGTTTGTCTTTCTCAGTTTTTTTTTTTTACGGGTTTAGGAGATAAATATAATTAATCTAATAGAAAAACAATGGAAGATGTCTTCACTAATATGGTTTGTAAGATCTCTCTTGTGTACATAAGAGAAAGTGTGTGTTAGTTGTTTATGGATCACTTATTTCTTAAACTAAGAGGGAAGTAGACTTCGAAGCATGGCTGCTAGTGTCTGATGTGTTTGTATTTGCATTTATAGACCAGTCCAAGAATACCAGGAAATTATGTTTTCCTGCTTGCATTGCATTGTGCTGCAGTTTTTGTTTGACAAGCCTCTCGTGTTGTTTAGAGGGATTTTGTTCCTGGTCGTTGCATCTTAAAAATGCGCTCAGGTGCTTTCAGGGCCATGAACACAGCAGTCTAAATGATAATATATTTCTGCCAAGCTAATGCCAGACATTCAGATCTCCTGTTTCAGTTCAACATTCAGCCATATTGACATCATTTTATACGTCATTTAATAATGTTGCAGCCACAAAGTCCACAGATCAGAAACAGACACTTAATCCATCTCTGCTGCACATGATATGATATCCTCTTTCAAATCCTCACAGGATTACTTTATACTACAAAGCAGGCTTATTATGAGGAAGTGAGATGTCGTACCATTTGCTTAGTTATAATAAACCTGACCACATGCTGCAAGAGTTACTGTAAGTATAAAGCTTCCAAAATAAAGAACCATTTTGTGTTCCAAAAATAACTTTTCAGTAAACAGTTGTTTTTTCTTAGTGTGAAGAACATTCCAAAGAAACTTTTTCAACCTTGGAAATATTCCATGGATGTTAAAGGCTCTTCATGGAACCATCGATGCAAATAAATGATATTTTAAGAGTGTAGATCAGTAATCAACACCAAGAAGTCTGTTGTTTAGTGAGTAAGGCCCGATGCTGCAGTTATTTTTGTAAAAGCATTTTGAATTGAGTCATGGGAATTTTTTGAGGAATATGCAAATTCCCATGATTGTGAGTGATCATGCTTGTATGTCTCTAATCGTTCTTTTTGGTGTTTTTTTTTAGCTTGGCCTTGGTCGTGACCACGCTGCTGCTTGCAGCTGCATCTGGTAAGAATGACATTTTGCAGAATTCCACATGTTCACCTGTCAGTGTTTAATAGTAATTTGTCTGAAATGCCGAACAACCAGCCACCTTTGCAAACAGTTACTAGTGATTTGAAGAGGACTAGCGATGAAAATAATGAGCTAAATGTAGAGATTAAAAGAGAAACGTTACGGGAGGATGGATTAGTTTGGATGTAGTGATGAATTATTAGAAGCCGTAGGAGTTGGGGAATGCACCTCTACACCAGAAAGTTAAAAGAACAAGGAAGCAAAACTCGGACAGTAAGAAAAGCACTTGTAAACCACTGAAATAAGTCATGGAGAATCACCCTGATTGAAACAAACATGCCTTTACACCCACAAACACACACGTTTAGCTGCATTTGAACATACCAGAGACTATATTTAAATACACTTAAAAAGGACTTGTACCCACAATCTTTACTATGCATGGCAGTGTTTCTGACACATGTAATAGTAGAACACATTGTCACTGCTATCAAAAGTTCCCTGTTTAAAAGAGAACCCCAATAAAAGCAAAAATAATTTGTAAAAATTAATCATATATATTACAAACAATAAGTAATATTTGTGTGTGTGTGTGTGTATATGTATTACACACAATAAGTATTGTATGTTACTTGTATGCATATATACAGTATATATATAAAACACATAAAAAATGCCATTAAACAAATATTAAAATATAATTTTTCTACATTAATTTGAAGATTAAATGTGAAATTATTGCAATATAAAAGCATATTTAAAAACGTTAATGTTAGTTGCAATTAATCGCGATTAATTTCAGAAAAATGTGCAATTAATTAGTTAATTTTTTTAACTGATTGACAGCACTATACATAATATAATAATAATATAATATATAAACTATTATATATTATATATTTATATATATAATAAACAATATATATATATATATATATAATAATAACATTATTGTGTAACATAATGTATATATACTATTATTTTTAAGTTACTATTATTAAGTTTATATATTTATATACGCTATTCTATATATACTAACTTTTGCAGACATTTTTCAGCAATGGTTGAGTTACAGGTCTTATAGAGTTTTACTGTTTTGCTTGCAAATGAGAAATCTTGTATCTGTGTAATTATCTAGTCAGTAGCACAATGCTATTAACAGTGCAAACAGAATATATCGCTAATTTGTTTTTGTACACAATTTCCAAAGTGCATGTTACTATTTAGATTGAAGTATACCTGCCTTATTATAACCAGCTGTAATAATAATCAGTGTCGACTGAAATGCTTCTGAAATTTGCGTTGTTTCTGTCATGTTGTTGTGTGTTTGTGTAGGTGTGAGCGATGCAGCGATGAACATCACGGCTGTTTTGGGTCACAGCGTTACATTCAGATGTCCTTCGAACCACAGCAAACCTGTTGAACGCTTGTACATACAGAGAGTTATAAAAGATAAAGAAGACATGTACATCAATGGGTTTACTAATGGCCGCGAAATACCAGGGAAGGGTTACCAGAGCAGAACCAAAGTGAACACAATGGACTACAGCATGGAGATGAGAAACATCTCAGTCGGTGATGAAGGATCGTACATTTGTGTTTTTGTTTTCGTCGACAAAGCGTACAAACCTGAAATCTCAGAGATTTTCCTCAAAGTCACAGGTATGCCACAAGATGCAGACAACAGGGTCGGGTTGAATTCAGAATGGAAGACTCGGATCATATTCAGATTATGTGTGAATCTGAATCAAATCGACCGCAACAGACAGGAAGTTGAATTAGAATTTGAATCTGAATGACAGAAAGAGGAATTTACTGAAGTGCAATTCAAAGTAACAGAAATTTCAAAAAGACAATACAAAAATAATTACATTATTAATTTTGCTTATTTATTACCTGATATGTAGAATATATTTGATCTCAAATGATCAGATATTCTTCTAAACTAAGTTTAATTCTGTCAAAACAATTAACAGCCATCAGTACAAATTATAGTACAAAAATGATACCACACCGTTTCCAAAATTATATTAACATAGGCCTACATTTGTTTTATTTTATTAAGGAAATTAGAGCATTCTGGTAAATTTGTAAATATTATTTCTGTGAATACTCAGTATGTTATGCACGAGAATATATGTTTATATGTAATTCATACTAAAGTATGAAATGCATTGTTAAAAAACGACACTTAATTGTCTACTTTCTGAATTTTGTATGCATGCCATTAGGTACTCAAATTCAAATGCAATTCAGATTTTGAGCCATTCTCATTTCAGTTCTGGATGATGCATAACCTTGATAAACTCCTGCAGTGTGTTTGTGTGTTCATGTGTGAATAATGAAGCCATTCTGCGAAAATATCATTTGAATATGCATATATAGCCTATTTGTGTGTGTGTGTTTGTACGTCTGTTGGTTTATTTGCGTATGTAAGTCTGTCTGCGGGGGAGCGCATGCTTGTTCGCATTGGAAACTCACTGCTGACTAAGGATTCTGGGATGGTTGCATTGACGTGGGTTTTGGGGAAGTGAAACGTTGCAGGGGGGAACCTCTCCGGATCTCTAAAATGTCACTTATTCCACTGTTCTTTTCTTTTTACAGCCGAGTACAGCGTCCCCACAATCACGCCTGACTGCAGTGAACATAGACGAGGCGTCAGCGGCACGGGGATGAGCTGTCACTTAAGCTGCTCGGCGGTGGGAGGATACCCACAGAGCACCGTCAGATGGGCGGGGCTTAATCCAAGTCTGACGAATGTATTTTACAACTGGAGTTTAGCACATAACGACTCCAAAACATGGACCATCAACCAAACCATCATGTACAACTGCGACCAGCCAACCAATGTCAGCTGTGCTGTATGGGGCGCTGTTTCCCACACCATCACCATATGTAAGTGTGTTGGATGTTAAAGGAGACATATTATGCCCCTTTTTACATTATGTAATATAAGTCTCTGGTGTCCCCAGAATATCTAGCGTAGCGTTAGTTCTGGCAGGTCACGTTAGTCAAGCTCGCATCAGCTGACTCTCAGCTGATCCCCATCTACCTATGGGAATACGACACCTATCTAAGTATTCATATATAAGGTCCCGCAGTAGTATCAGCAGTTTTCGCATTGCTCAATAGCTAATTATCCTCCTCCATCCCCAGCTCCTCCTCTGTCAGTCAGGATTCAGCCTTCTGATTCTCCTTTGAATCAGACTAATTCTAAACTGGGTACATAACATTATTGAACTTTAATGATATCTGCGATACATTTATGTTGGTTCTGTTCTGTTTACCCTGGGGAGGGTAAACAGAGACTGCATGGATGCGCAGGGAGTTCTTGCCCAGAACGGAACCATACCGCCAATCCAAACTGTATGCTAATTG